GAAATCCACATTCACACACAGGCCTGTGACACTGAGGGAAATCCACACTCACACACACAGGCCTGTGACACTAAAGGAGCTCCATACTCACACACAGGACTGTTGTACAGAAGAAACTCTACACCTCAACCTGCTACCTAGCTCTTTTTAGACCCTTGTTAGTTTAAGGTCTGTATTATGATAAATTCATACATTTTCTTTAATTTTCTATTTCTAGTTCTAATGTATTTAATAAAATTTAATCTTGAAGAAAAAGAGTATCTGATTATAAGTGATTACATTTGAAGTACTTCCTTTGGAAATATAGAATATATATTAAGGCTTTTAACCATTCAACTCATGAAAGAACGTAAGAAGTATATATTTATGTATGTGCATATATGCATGCAATGACAGTGAAAAAAATAGGCCATAAATTTGATGGAGAGTGGAGAAGATATATAGGAGTGTTTGAGGGGAGGAAAGTAGAAATGCACTTATGTTATAACCTTTAAAATGTGCATATGTGATCAAGAAAAACTACAGAACAAACTTATGGAAATGATCTTTCAAAAGTTATGCTGGCAGTGATTTCTTAAGTATTTTTCAACAATTTAATTTATTCATTAAAGATGTGCGTGTGTGTGACAGGTTGGTGGTGGCACACGTCTTTATTTCTAGCACTCAAGAGACAGAGGCAAGTGGATCTCTGATTTTGAGGCCAACCTGGTCTACAGATTGAGTTCCAGAGTTGCACACAGAAACACTGTCTTTAAAAACCAAAAAAAAAAACATAAAACAAAACAGAACAAAACAAAAACAACAACAACAATACAAAACGTGTGTGTGTGTGTGTGTGTGTGTGCGTGTGTGTATGTCTTAAGTGCAGATGCATGCAGAGGCCAAAAGAGTCAGATTCCCACTGAAGCTAGAGTTACAGCAGTTGTGAACTGCCTGATGTGGGTACTAGGTGCTCTAGGAACTGAACTCTGTCCTCTGCAAGAGCACTCTTCTTAACCACTAAGCCTTCAATTCAGCATCCTGCTATTATAGTATCAAGTAAATGTATACTTGCAAGTGGACTCCTGGTTTGTTTTGTGTATACTACTTAGCAACTAAGTAACAAAAAGCAGTGAAAAGATTTAAGCAACATTCATTTGCTTGAGTGTTAACATGGTCATAAATCCATAGAAATATATTTCATTTTTTTTGTGTTGTATTTGAGAAATCACACACGAATCTCAAAAATATCCTGTTAAAATGATAAACACCAATCTCATGTAAAAACAGACTGTTGAAGCAAATAAGTTCATGTAGTGCTGTAGTCAGGATTCAAAATGCAGAAGAAAGCTGCCATTGATATTGCCACACCCCTGCTCTATGCTCATTATAGGACATCCATACCTAGAAAGTATGTTTGGGAAAGATTAAACAATAAATCATTTCTATTTAATTTCATTGCCAAGTGGCAGGATAGGATTCCAAATTTAAATGAGAGTATTTTGAAGTTTGTCAAACTGTTGATGATTGCACTATTTACAATGTAGGAATTGACGTGAACATGGTATAAACATCTTACTCAATACCAGAACAATCCATGCTTACAGCAACATAGTGGGGTTATAGGATAAACCAAGAAGGATAACAATTACAAAATCACAACAACATAAAACTATGAATGAGAACAATGAATAATGAGTTCTTACCAAGTTTCCGATTGTAAGGAAATACATGAACTCCTCACTCATTGGAAAATGCTCTATGGCCATGAAACATAAGTTCAAAATGATGCATATGACAAGAAAAAGATCAGCCAATGGATGTGTTATAATTCTATCAGCAAACTCATTCAGTTTTGTCCAACAGGGACAGCATTTCCAGATGAAGCAAGTTTTAATAAACTTATGCCAGCACATAGGACATTTCTTCCTGGATGTTTCTGGTTCTAAAATGTAAGATGAGAAAAGTAAACTATTGGGAAAAAATGTTTAAATTCTTGAGAGTAGATAAATTTAACACTTTCATGCAAAGAGCTCTGCAGAACTTGATTTCGTATGTGGAATTTGAAAATACAAATAGTCTATACTAATATATATCAAAATGAAATCCATGTCTTCTATTTCGTTTGTGACTATTGAGCTAAAAAAATGTAACGTAAATGAAGCCAACAATGCATTAGTAGGAAAGAATAAACTTCTCATAAACCAAGTATGGGTGAGAATAAGATGATTTTTAATTTCTAGATTTATATGGTTTATATTATATTAGCTTTTGAAATTGTGTATGATAAAGAACCAGTGATTAAAAGTAAAAAAAAAAAAAGTAGATGCATCTAAAATACACTGAGATATTGTGATTATATAGGTGATGTTTGAAGAACGCGAGATAAGACAAAGACTTCTGCCACCAAAGGTCCAGATCTATCTTCTCATCCCAACAAAAGTATTGACAGTCTGAAGCTGCACTGTGATTTACTAACATAATATAAGCAGTCAGTCAACGCATTCTTTATATTTATATGTTTTAGTTGTGGTGAAAAATTCGTGAACCTTGAGAAACTGCAATCAATAATCAATTAATTAAAAGATCCTGCCCCGTGGAATGACTAGCATTTCATGGACAGATGATGGCTACAAAATGCATATGCTCACTATATAAATTGTTATCATACAGCTGCTATTTAATTCTACCTCTTTACATCTGTGCCTATTTCTGTCAGTTGCAACTGGTACCATATGCAGTCTGTGACTGTACCTTGATATCTTTCAATGACATGTTCTAATGTTGAAGACATCTTCTTCTGAATTTTCATACAGTGTTCATCTTAACGCCCCCATAGTGTTACTTGTTTAAAGCAACTGCTCAATGATTTAAGAATGGATTTTGCAAATAATTCAATACTGAGAATTGTTCAATACTGTGTAGTTTTCAAGTAGTTTTTTCACTTTACCTTCTTTGTGTCCAAGGGCAGTGTCTTCCAGTATATCCAATGTGGTGTTTATAGAAGTTGGCAATCTTTTCTTCATTTCTATTTGTGTAGTTTTCATCTAAAAGTAGTTTAATGGGTTTAGTAGTAGCTAGCTCTCCGTCATCACACCATTACAGCATAACATTATCAGAATATGGGACTTGACCTTTCTACAGCTTCTTGCTTCCAGGGGCTTTTTATGTTCCATTACTGGCCCTTTCTATGGTATTGGCTGTACTAGAATTATTTAGAATTAGCTGGAAAATAAATGCTAAAATTGAAAGGCAATCAAAATTTTCACGGTGAACTGAACAATAAATAGAGCATGATAGTAAATATAAGCAGTACTATTTATATTCAAAAAGTAATGTGACACAGTTACTAGATTATTATGGAATATTTGACAAATACGCTTCTGAGTAATGAGAATATTTCCCTAAAAACACAATATTTTTGCTCAAAGATATACTAACTTTATAACATGGCCAATTCCCTCAATAAAATTAAAATTACTTAGATATATGATTAAATGAATCTTGAAGAATCTAAGGTTGTGGAATGGATTTAAAGGCTGTCTGGATGGAATATGTGTGACAGTTAATGAGTTAACTGATCTAACTCCACAAATGAATCATTTCTTCAAGTGCCTCATGGCCCTTCAGTAATGTTTTCAACATATATTCTGCTTTGTTTATCATCTATGTTTTATATTTATTTATTGTTTGTGAGTATACTTGGTGGGTACTATTTTGTATGTGTGTGTGTATGCATGTGTGTGTGTATGCATGTGTGTGTGTGTCTGTGTCTGTGTGTGTATGCATGTGTGTGTGTTTGTGTATGTGACTCTTTTTTCTGGACTCAGTTCATTTGTTCTGGAGTCACAGTTTTCCAATATCCAGACTCTGGTTTGCGTATCCTGCAATTTGACAAATTTTGATATAGTACACCTTATGTGATCAAATAGAAATTAATGAAATCACTGCATTACCTTTACTATCAACTAAATATCATAGATGGCAGAGGCAGAGGACATTAAGACCAACTATAGCACATTCTGAGTTTCATCACAAAACTGAGACTCACCAGATCTACTGAGCCTCACTTCACTTCATAATTAGGTTAAAATGTAAACTAAAATTTAGGAATGTCACACTAGTTGTTTAATCAAACTACACACATCCAAGAAAATATTTTAACTGAATTACAAGTTTATATATAAAATTGAAGTTTATATTCATAAATTTCTAAGACACAAAATCCAAAAGAAGTGATATTTATTTCTTTGATCTGACAAGAATTTCTCAGGTAATCATTTTCATAAAGCTGTTACTTTCTGATGCCCATCATATCTAAAGTGATCACTTATGTCATAGGAGTTGGTCCTCAGGGAGCTGTTTCAGACAATAGCAACAGTTTGCTAGAATCACACCAAAGAGCAGTCGGTTAAGATTATTGTCTATATGGGAGAGGAAAGAATTGATGTGACCCCCAAACTTAGCCTTAATTGTTAACAATTAATAACATGCGACAGATTTTAATTTTGGGTTTCCTTAAGTTTTCTGAAGGTATTTAAATGAAATTCAGATTTGATATTATTTTTAAGACCATTTTAATGGAATATATCACAATTCCAATGATCCTAACTTTTAACAGTAATTTCTTAATATTATCCAAAACGATTTTCAAATTTTAGGTTTAACCTTGTCTTTTGTTCAATAACATTATAGTATACTTGAGCTGTTCCAAGTAAAATACAAATAAGTTTCACACACTGCACTTAACTGGTAGATATTTTAATTGTTTTAGGATTTTAATTTATTTTTCAAATGATTTAATGTTAAAGATATTAAATCACTTATACTTTAGAACTTTCTACAGCCTTGATCTAGCTCCTTTCATTGTTATTTAATCTGTGCCTCTTTTTCATATGGTCCTTTGATGACAGTCAACTAGATTAGCAGGCACACGAGGCATAGCTCAGTGTTTGGCAAGAAGATTATGTGCATAGTGCCATGCTGTTTCCTGGTAATAATATCAGGAAATAATTTCTTTTTCTTCTGGAGATAACTCTGGGCTTATGACAGATGCATAATTATTCTCCCTATTAGATCTATACTTTTGTGCAAATATTATACTGCAGTTACATTTACCACACCTTATCCCCAATATTTAAAGAACTATTAATACCGATTAGATTAATTAGATAAATGTTACAGGATTGTCAGGTTAAACGTAGCCTTTACTTTTCAAATTACTTTCATTTTACTCTGGTTTTTAAATATTCCATTCTTTTCCTGAAGTTTTACCAGTTCCTAATGGTGCATGAGAGAATTATTTATGTAAACTGTGTCATTTTAGCATCATAGTGCTTTGGAACTGGGCCATAAGAACTGTTAGGTAGCTAGACAGAGATTATAGGCCATTAGGCTGAGCTAATTCATCATTGCAGGCTTTGAAACATATCCCCAATTTCCCTAGTAACATTAGAAATGGAAGCTTCATAAATGCCCCTATAAATGCTTAAAATACCAAATGGAAATATCAAAAAGTTGGATCACAGTTAACTAACCTGGACCCTTGAGGGCTCACAGAGACTGAACTACCAACTCAAGAACATACAGGGGCTGAACCTAGGTCTCCCGCATATATGTGGCAGATGTGCAGCTTGGTCTTCATGCAGGCCCCCAACAACTGAAGAGGTGGTTGCCCTAAATCTGTTGCCTGTCTGTGGATCCTGTTACTCAAACTGAGCAGCTTTGTCTAGACTCAGTGTGAGAGGATTTGCTTAACCTTGCAGAGACATAATGTGCCAGGGTGGGGGGAATACCTAGTGGGATCTTCCCCTTCTCAGAAGAGAAGGGAAGGGAGGAATGGGTGTGGGTGTAGGAGTATGGAAGAGGTGGGGGCTGCTATCAGGATGTGAAGAGAATGAATACATTAATTAATGAAAAAAGAAAAATAATTTCTTTTCCTTTTTTTTGTATCTCATTCCAATTCTCTGCTTAACTTAAAAAAGCACGATTTTTTTCTATGTATCCACTCCCCTTCTCCCAGAAGTTCCTGAGATTTATGGCTTACCTTGGTGTTATTTTATTCTCAGACTTGTCTAGATCTTCCTTCTAGATCTGCTTTCAACTTCTGTTTGTGTCAAAATGATGTTAGTATTGCGTGTATGTGTGTGACAGTGTTTGTGAATGCTTCTTTATGTGTGTATTTGTGTGTGTTGTGTGTTTGTGTGTCTGTGTGTGTGCACCCCAGTGTGCAGAGGTAAGAGCTTTGTGAGTTTGGTTTTCTCTGTCCACTTTTACATGAGTTTTAGAGCTCAAACTCAGATCATTAGGATTAAATAACAAGGACCTTTTTGTGATGAGCCATCTCACTGGCCTTGCCTTTAAATATTTTATTAATGAGATTAAAAACTCATATGGGAACACAATTTGCCTTTAGGAGAACTAAATAGTTAAGTGATGAGCAATGGCTTCATCCCATTGGTAAAAAAAATGTCTAGTACCAGTGTGTACTGATCAATGTTTGCAGCCGTTTGTCCTCAACAAGAATTATACACTGGATTTCATCAGTACCTATCAAATGATGGGCATAGTGGAAACTGACTTTATATGCTGACGTTAATGTTACTATTTAACTTCAGCCAAAGATCTATGGCTTTCACATTGGTGGGCTTTTCTTCATTCAGATTACTTCCTATTCTTACATTTTCTTTCATTTGTTCATTATAATTAGTCTCTGATCTTTGAAAATCATTATTAGATGTTAATTACATTTTATTAGGAATAAATGTGAGCATTTATAACATGGTTTTATACCATATCTCATTCTACACATGCTTCTTAGATACCAATCACCAATTTTTTTCACTTGAGATTTTGGGAACTATATCTCAAGGTATTGGTACAAATATAGCATGGTATAGCATATGTTACACATTTTGCAAAGAAGATGGCATAGACTAAATAATAAATGTCTCATAATATTAACACTATACTCTTATGAACTAATTTATGTATAACATGAGGGTTTTTTCCCTATAAATGTAATGTGTTGTATCTGGATGTGGTGGTTTATGTCTGTAATTCTTGCCGGATGGAGCAGGAGGAAGGAGGTTGAGTTTATGAACTTCATGGGCTACATGGTTGAATTCTAGGTCAGTCTCAACTACATTGTGAAACTTTATATCAACAATGAAACCAAAACAACAATAACAACAAAACAAAGATCAAGGAAGTATTGGTAGTTTGCTGATTGTGATAAATCAAAGCTATCTTTTATATGCTCTATGATACTGATGATGACCTTCCTAACATGTCTTCTTCATAACATGTTTTTGCTCCACATGGTTATTTTGTGGGCATTTCATTTGGACTTCATACCACCTATATGGCAGATAATATAAATGGTCAATATTTTAGATAAGGAAGCTGATGTTTCCCAACACTGACAGAATTGGTGTATATCATGTATATATCATGTAGATAAAGTGAACTGAAGTCCACATTTGTGTGACTGTGATACCATACTCATAGTCAACAAAATTCTCAGAGTTCCTATGGTATTGCCCCATGTAATCTGCCTCTTTGTAAGTCCATCTTTAGAGTTTGAACTTGACCTAATTTCAAAAAGTCATGCAATAGGCTGAATTCTTCTTTCCTGACATGTTTTTTCTGTATAAAGACCAAAGGAAAAGAAAAGAAATCTTACTAAAATGGATCTTATTCTCAGTTTCAGGAAAACTGTACATGAGAAATGTTCTAAGATTCTTTCAGGAAAGAAAGTCTTTATAACTGAGAGTTTTTAATAAACACCAGGAAAGATTTACTAAAACCAAACTTTACTAAGTGAGAAAATATATTAGGAAATGCCAAAGCTCTTTCATAATCAGAACTATTTCATAATCAAAGATAATAGAACACTTCATCTAGGAATAAGGGAGGTATTGTTAAGCTGTTGGGTACATTGTGATGTAGTGACGAGCTCTTGAGTTTCTGAAATGCCACTTTAAAACAAATTACCCAGTCAACATTTCCTTCAGACCCTTCAAGTTCAACCTGAAGGACAGAAATCCTTTGTAATTTTCTTTCTTATGCTGTACTTATGAGTTATAAAAGCCTCTTTTTGTACATGTTTTGTTCATACAGTCAACAATTGCTTCTTGTTCAACGGCATGCATGTTATGGACCCAAGAGCCTATGAAGTCATTGAGTACATTCCAATATCCTGTTATTCAAATTCCACTTGTGCTACTCTTATTTCCAAGAGCCTGTTCAGCGATGGTAACCACATGGATTGAGGGGTTAGTCTTCAGCTACTTTCAACTAAGAAGGAATATTTTGTATTAATGAAACTTTCAGCTAACCTTTGTACATCTTCTAATTAAGGTCCAATTGCTTGTTGGCCTTGTATTTTACCTCATCTGTATTATTCTTGTTCTATAAAATACTTCCCAAATGTACTTCATCTCTGACTTTGTTTTTTTTGTCTAAATTTTGACTATTTCCAGTATTCTGGAAGAGGTGTGATCACTTGCAATGCCAGAAGGTACTCCTTGTTGTATTCCTCTGCACCCTCATTCTTATTCACACATGTAAGGTTGATTCAATTTAAAATGATGTTGTAAAATCTTCTGAACATCACTTTTGCTGATACTTTCAGATTCATAGACCGAATTTTCATAGAAGGCTAACAATCTGGAAGCTATTTAAATATTAGATTAGAGGATTTAAAATTACAATAAACTATTATAAGCCAAGTAAATAAAATATATAAATAATAGTATATTTTTAGATTTATAATCATAGATTTAATCATCCATTGATAAAATAATTGCAAATATTATGATAACTTTTGCTTCTTGAGAGGCCAGAATGTTTCTTTCCTTTCTTTTTTTCTTTACTTTTTTAATGTTTTCATTTTCTAATTTTAGCTCTGCACTTTTAAACCATTAAGTAATTTATAGTAATAATTGAGGAGGCCATTATTTACAGTTGAGCACACTGTTCAATGCTAATTCTGATACGCCATCATGTTGGACTTAATAAATTAAATCTCTATTGGAAAAACTTATAAGAGCACAACATATTAAGATGTTTTTCAATAGTACTAATGAAAATTTGGGTCAACAATTATACATATAAATTATGTAAATTCATTGGTCATTCTTAGCACACTCTATGACAAAAGACCAAATATATACAAGAGAGTAAAGTAAGGAAGCAAAAGCAAGTCCATTTTACTAAAAGGAAATGAAAAATTTTAAAATTAAGTGTTCCTGTGTGATTCTCGGTAAGTGTGTTTGCATGTGTGTGCACATATATGTGTTTCCACTGTTTGTGTTCATTGTGTATATGTGCTTGTGAAGTCCAGAAGAGAATGCAAGAGTCCCTTGAAGCTCTAGTTACAGGAGCTATAGTTATAGGAGGTTGTCCTGACTGATGTGGATACTGAGTATCACTTTGACATCTGCAAGAGCAGTATATGCTCTTATCTAAATAGCCATCTTATCAGTCCCAACAAAACACTTGTTTTTCTGATAGGATATCATGCACAGATATGATCATCTGGATACCATGCACATATATGATCATCTCTCAGAAGACCACATACTCCAAGACTTTGAGAAGTTCCTCTAATACTATGAAACTTTGCAGCACAAATTTATACCTCGGCTGAGTCCTTTTCTTCCTCAAGTTCTTTCACAGTCTGTTGGTATTTAGGATCCATGTCTCTGGATTCCTCAGAAGCTCTTTTCGTTTCCTTTTCATAGGTCATAGTAACTATGCCCAGGAACAAGCTTGCCATATAGAAGGCAAACCAGAAACTGATCATAACAAAAAATATCATGTAGACCTTTCCTGAAGCATAAAGAATCTGCAGAAAAGTAGGACACAAAGACAGAGAGGCATTATCATCTTTCTCTATATTTTCCTCATTTAAGATTAAAAATAAAATTTTATTATAAAAATTACTTAGACATAAATACAATATAATCAAAGCATAATTTATGTCTTAAAGAAATAAAAAAATAAATAAAGAAAATATATTTTATTTGCTTTCAATAAGATGTATGTTATTAAATCAAGAGAAGAAATTAGGAATTCTCTTAATTTAGTATGAGCATTTGATTCATGTCTTCATTACCAGAATAAACACACCAAATATTAAAACCTTAACCCCATGCAATAAAAATCTGGAAAATACCAATACAGAAATGCTTTATTTCTTTAAGTATTGGAAGATTTCAAAGTATGTTTCAAACATCATTTTTTCTCATGATGAATTTATGGAAAAGACAAGTGTGAAAACCCAAGCTAATAGAAGTGTTTCTCTGCATGTAAAAGCACTTGCTCTGATGAAGTCTTTAGAGAAAAGTAATTAGAATAAAGAAGACTTATAGGAAGAAATATTTCTTGATTGTTGAATAAGGAATTTTATATTTCTGAACTGAACATGACTAGCTCTGGATTTCATAAACATTACATTCGCTAGATCAAAACAAATACACAAAAATGTAATTAGAAAATACAATCAATTTTGTTTACTGACTAAATATATTTGAAACATGTAAAGGAAACAAAGTTTTGATTTTTAAGCATACAATTGTATAAACAGAAAACTATTATCTACAGAAAATGTTTTGTGGCTACAGAAAGTTAAAGATGGTTTAGGAATAATAGTAAGTACTAAATTTATTCTGAAACAATGTCTTACTTATTTAGAACACGTTAGGCTTTAAAGGTGATTTTTAATAACCTGATACTACATTGAGATAGTTATGATTTGATTAAATCTTTTAAACTACTTAAGCAGCTGCTATTAACACTAATAAATGCAGTGTCCAGGTATGAACAGTTTAGCATTTGCTATTATGTAATAATCAAGATGATTTATCTGTTATCAAGTAACACATGTATGTGATATTTAATACTATTTGCAATATATATATAAATAATAAGATGGTGGAGCTACTTTTCACAATCTTAAATATAGAAATGATTACATCTTTAACATATTATAATATAGGGAATAATATGGGATAAAATAAATACAAAATATCTTCTCTTTTTGAAATAGAGGAGATACTATACAACTTAGGCCAGCTTGCATCAAACCTAGTATTTTCCTGCCTCAATGGCTGGCATTATAGTTGCGCACCACCTATTCAGACTAAAGATATACATCCTTGTTAGCATATAATCAAGAGGAAATTGTTGTTTTATTAGGTATCAGTATAAGATTGGGTAATTCTAGAACTGATTTCATAGTGTTTGTATGAAGATAATATGAAGCAATGCATACAGTTAACACAGAGCATATCCACATTAAATGTTAACTATATTGTTAAACTCAACTCTCTTCATGAGTCTTGCTAATGAGTCTAAAGGAATATTGGGACCAAATATAATATTGCCTAAGACATGAGCTGTACTTTTTGGTAACAACTACAAAATATCTGAGCGTTGATCAATTGAGTTTATGGAAATGTTAAGTAAAAGTCTACTTTCAAACCAAAGGAATTAGTATACAATAAAAAATGCAGAAATCAAAAATGAATGTCATGAGTAGACTCCAAGCCTGAATGCCTCCCAAATTTTGTTCCATTGAAGAGGCATGGGGTTGAATTTAAAACAAACCTAACTAAAGAGTTTTATAACATACCCTTGAATGTATAGAAAACAAAACAAAACAAAACAAGGCCTTCATTATTATACAGATTGCTGTAGGTCAGACAAAATCTTTTGGGGAACTTTGTTTCCTTTTTTTTTAATAATTTATTTTTTTCTCAAATCGTAATTCATTCACACAGGGGTTATAAACACAGAAAGGCAGGAGGTGGGGAAGGGAATGACACTGGAGTGTGGGTGTTCAGGGGGAATACAGATATCTTTCAGAACCGGGAATCGGATGGGTGAAGGTTCAGGGGACAAGTCACTATGACTCTGCCTATGACTCGCTTGTCCTTATCTAAGTTGATATTGTCTGCCAAGGCTACCTATTACAAAGTCTATGACTACTCAGGCTTGTAAATTTCCACAAAAGCTGCCTGTTTACAGTAGATTATAGCCATCTGTTTCAATGTTTTTCCACTGAGACCCAAGACTTGGTGTCAGTATACATGTATGACAGGCCTATTGCTGATTTTAGGCCTATGGTTGATTTTAGGCCTTCAGTGTGTAAGCAGGGCTGCCCCTGACATCTCCTCCCTTCTCTAAGTATAGAAGGGCTGTGGCAATTCTAATCTTGCGAAGGCAGGGATAGAGGCCTGACCTCCAAAGTTCAAAGACTAAAAAAAATTAAAAAATTAAAAAATGAAAAGGATTTTGAGGGAGGGTAATTTATGAAAACATCAAGACACTTTTACAAATAAGAAGCTCTGACTGTTGCATAAGAAGCACAGACATATTATAAATCTTAGGAAATAAAAATGCGAACTCTAACATAAGAAATCATGTTATACAACAAAAATATGTTACATCTAACATTTTTATAACATAACTTTCTTTTGGCACACTATTTTAATCTCAACTTTCAGGAAGTAGAGACAGGTAGGTGTCTATGAGTTCAAGATCATACTATCTACAGAGAGAACTTCAGGCCAGAAAACTTTGCAGAGAGACTCTATTTCAAAAAACAAAATGAAACAAAATAACAACAATAAAAGAAACACAAAAAACAAGGAACAAAGAAAAATACTTCACATATAAGGTTGACTTCCATTTAGGGATACATTATCAACTAGTGTCTATGTCAAAATTACAATACATTATTCAAAAAAATTAAAAGTTTTTTAAATCTCTCTCTCTCTCTCTCTCTCTCTCTCTCTCTCTCTCTCTCTCTCTCTCTGTGTGTGTGTGTCTGCATGTGTATTTGCACAATGCTTGGAGGTACATACAGTGATAAGAAGAGGGCACTAAGTCTTCTGAAGCTGGAATTTCAGGGGGACTTAAGCTACTTAAAATGGGAGGTGGAATACAAATTATGTCCTTTGAAAGAACAAGAAGTACTCTATACAACTGATCAATCTCTAAAGACTTTGCAGAGAGACTCTCCCTCAAAAAATAAAATGAAACAAAACAACAATAAAAAGAAACAAAAAACAAACAAGGAACAAAGAAAAATACTTTACATCTTACCTTTTAATGACCACACATGCACCTATTGCAGTGTAGTCGTAATAGAAGGAATGTATTAGGTATGTGACTTATTATGGAAGTCTATTCTTCAACCCTATCTACTCTAACTTTCACCAGACCATGAATGACCACCTATAATAGATTGTCACTATCAGACCTATAGACTGTTGACATGTGTTTACAAAAGTAATACATAAGGGTAGCCATTAAAACCTTACCAGAGATAATAGCAACCCTCTATTTTTACTGTATATAAACAAGTCTTATATAATTCTGACCCAATGGCATGTTGGCCTAGTAGGCTCATGAGGTTCTATAATATATGAACTGTGGAGGATAAATAGGGGTGATAGGATTCATCTATACAGCTACAATTATGTCATCATCCACGTTAAGGTGAGATTTTTAATGGCCCAATTTCTTCAAGGTCACTTACACATTACTCAGTAACTGGCAACCATAGTCTATAGAGACCTTGGTGGAACTGGATTTTGGTCTATGATTGGCACCTTATCTCAGGGGAATGAAGAAAGAACTGTCTCAATAAAACACATATTTTTAAAAGGAATACTCGCAACTCAAAACCCTTTTAGAATTTAGAGTAACAATTCTTTGTTCTAACATCTTTACTAACTATTATGCTTTGATAATAACATTATATATTTCATGGTAATGGAGACGGTCTTTAAAGGGACTCCAAATCTCTATTGTAACAAGTTTTATCCCTTCCCAAGAGACTACTATACAAAAGTAGCTTGGACACAAATTCTTTTGCAACATACCTGGAGCAATGTTTAATACTTAAGTAGAAAGCATTAAATAAGATAAAAGGAAATAGAAAATTTTCATTTAATATATTCTTACTTAATGTGTTCCAAACGGATAAGCCCATAATAGTTTTACTCAATAATTAAATACTCATTGTATAAATCACATATATCAAACAGGTCAACATAATGGTCTTTTGGAGTAAGAAAGTGAGCTCCACACATGAAATTTGCAGTTGTTATTCAATACAATCTAATCTTATATAAAATATAAGTAAACAGATGATCTTCAATATCATATGGTACTATATCTAAATAAGTTTCTGTTGGGCTGAAAGTGTGTTAGTTACTTATGTACTTATTGTGGCTGACCATATAAATAATATAGCTTAGCATAGTAACACACACTCCAGTAGATGGCTCCTTCCAAGACTGTGTGGCTGCTGGTGGTGAAGCTGTTGTTACTGTCCATTGTGGAGAAAATATATTAGAATGCAATAGGTAAGATCAGAATTAAAATCTGAGTGGCACTACTACTGAATGCTATCACTGGGTACCACTGTAAAGCTGAAATGTCCAAAATGAAGTCTTTGTAAACCCCACTCTGTGCAATGACCTTAGAGCATTATTTTAAAGTTTAATATCAAAGGCCAAACTGTCAGTGTACAGGAGTCAATGGAGCATTTCACCTTCAGCAGCTACAATGTGTGTGTGTGTGTGTGTGTTAGTAATTCCTTTTTAACAACCTGACTTACATTTTAGCTTGTATTTTACAAATGTGGAGAAGCTACTACCTTTATCATGCGCAGTTCAGAGTATCTCTTCTTACCTGGTGATAAAGTAACTCAGGGTAATCCTGCGCCATCAACCGAAACATAGCAAGTAGAGCCCAGCCAAAATTGTCAAAACTCGTGAAGCCTTTGTCAGGATTTGCACCCTCTTTTACACACACATAGCCTTCTGGACATTGGCTAAAAAAGACAAAGAAAGAAAGAAATATTTGCTATCAAGTAGCTTTCAGGCAATGGGCCAGTTATAAATACCATCTCCCTTCTGTCCAAGAGCACAGAGAATTGCATAAAGTCAATCAATTTTCTTTTTAGAGAAAAGACTAAAAATCAGTTGCATTTCAGGTTGATGCACATGAAAAGTCTTGAAAGAGAATTTTAAGCACTTCAAATTGTCTTTCAAAAACCTACTGTTGAATGATTAATTTAAATTGACAAAATGTATATAATCATCACACATATACTTTAAATATTTATACATTGTTGAGTGCCTAAATTTGGCAAATGCATGTATCATTCACATATCTACAATCACCATGGCAAGAATACTTTGCAATTTCAAGAGTATAATGTGTTGTTATTATTCAAAATTTTGCTGCTTAAAATCAGATTGGAGAAGCTGAAAGTGTGACTCCATGGTAGACTGTTTGCCCAGTATTTTGAGTATTTGAGTTCAAGCCATAACAGAGTAATATAAGAAGATAGGAGGAAAGCGGAGGGATAGAGGAAGGAAGAGAGAAAGAGAGGGAGAGAGGGGGGAGGGTAAAGGGACAAGAATCTCTCTGAATGTCATCGTGAAAGTATATATGTTAGAAAATAGCACTGATAAAAATAAATTACAATATTTGAAGGCTTAATCTTCAAGCGATCTCACCTCAGACCCTTAGTTCCCATTATTTAAGGGTGAGAAAACATTTGTCACATTAATAATTGAAAAGCAGAGCTAGCACTTGGGGGAAAAGAGCACATTAAATATTTATTTTCTTCCCTTTCAGGGAGTTCTCAAACTTTTATCTATGTAAGGTTGGAATAATGTGCCTCATTATTATGGTATTGGCTCAATAAATCCTATTTTCTTCTCTCTAAGGCATTGTACAGTTTCTTTCTCCACGTTATTTTGGGGTTGGCCATGTCACAGGCCTTAGACATATAATGGAAGAAGTGGTTTAAAAATGCTTGTACATGGAGGCTTGCTAGACTAAAACTCTAAGACTCAGAGCAGGGGTATGCTGGGTATTATATTCATCTCCTAATGTGGGGTAGCTTACTGTGCTGATAACTATGGTGTTGGAGGTGAAATAACATCTCAGTTCTACTAATTGCCTTGAAATACAACATTGTGTTCTTAACATTCATAGACAGATGCCTTCACAAGGTATACAGAATCTATTTAAAGTGGAGGGCTACTGAATAAGAGGTTACACAGAGAAGGACCCAAAAGCAGGTTCTGAGGATAGAATGGAAACTAAACAATAAAACTTCACAGTCACCCAGTTGTATATAAACTATACAAGGGTGCTTTATTTTCCACAGGGATGTAATTAATTCCCAGCATGTAAGGGTTAAAAACAAAACAGAAATGAGACTATAAACAATACATGGTACATCATCTCTACCGAGAGCAAAGCAATAAAGAAAGCATCTACATCAGCAAGGCTAGGGAGAGGCATGTTGCTATTTTCTTATTTGTTCCATTATACTCTGCAGGTCACAGCCAGTGAGAAGGCTAAGAGCATTAAGTCACTTGCTCCCAGGCCTGATCACTTAAGTTCAATTCTCTGGATTCATATGATGGAAGAGAGACTCAACTCCTGCGAGTTATCCTCTGATCTCCATGCATGCCATGGCATATACCCCAGTCCCCCTTTTCTCATTTATGTATTATATACATAACTATATTACGTACATTACTGTAGCTTAAGAAGCTATGTCACCATAAGGTTTGTATTACGTACATTTACGTATGTAATAAAGGCATCTATATTAGTAACACATGAGAATAATGTTACCTTCCTGAATAGTTATTGTTTTTGAAAAGTAATTTTATTAGTGTGAAATACATCTATAAAGCATATGTAGACACCAAGTAAGTAAAATAACTGTATTTCTATAATATATTTTTCTGAAAAGCTCTTGAGCAAAGAGCTGATTTACATTATCTTTTGTTAATTCCTGATGCTGGGATGTACTGAAAATAAACCAGATCTTTGCTGGAGTTTTGGCCATATGGTGATATAGCTTCTTAAGCTAAAATAAGCCACTCTACTTATCTGCCTATTGCTTTGATAGAAACTTGAATTAATAGTATTTCATAGTACACATTTCTAAGTTGATACTTTGGAATTCTATCACAAGTTTATGGTAGTACTGGGTGGGGTACTTAATGACAGACTAGACCGAAATGAGGCCTCATGTGTGTGGTTAATGCTTTTACATAGGAAATATGAGAGGCTTTGTCCCACTTCCACTATGAGGATACATCAAAAAAGGCACCACCTACGAGCCAATAAAGACAGTCTCAAGTCTGCCCAACTAAGAAATACATATCTGTTGTTTCTAAGACTTGCAGTCTACGAAATTTTGCAAGAAATTTCTCAAAAAGAACGAAACAGCTCCCCTGCATAGCTTTCTTAACAAAGGGAGAACACATAGACAACTGAGAATAGTAGCAAAACACATATTCATTCAACGAATGCTAAAGACATGCTAGAAGGAAACATTGGCCCTACCTACCCAGCATCTGTCCTGTTGCCACAGAGGAGAGCATATCTTGCTCCTTCCATATAGTAGAAGTTTTCTCTTTCTGAAAAAATTAAAAAGAAATAAGGTTCTGTGCTTCATCTTGAGTCAACCACATGAAGCCCATCTCGATTTCCATAGGCACATCTGCCTATGTCCTTGAGAGAAAAGAGAAAATTCTTTCTTTTTACTCTGCCATTTCATACACAAGTCAGGGACCTTTGAGAACACAGGTGCCTTGTTCTTCTGGAACTGAAATTGTTGAGCACAGAAGGAGGAGCAGGAACACTGAAGTCAGAGGCAAGGAAAAATGAATTAAACAGTCACATGTGACAGTATCACTGAAAGAAAATACCCAAGATTACTTAGCAAACCAAGGGTTGTTACAGATGGTATTTCTCAACTGAGGCCAGAATTCTTGGTCTTTTCCTAACTTGAGTCAGCCTTGCTGTACTAAGTAACTAGTGCCAGTGACATGCTAATTGCAACCACAAACATTGCTAATATTCAGCATAGTCTACATAATTTGTCAGAACACGCTAAATGCTATTGATAAGCATAAATTATGTTTCTAGATATTAGGCACTATAGCTAGGAATATACAGGGTTTTAGACAATGTTTAAATAATTGTTTATTTAAGTGTAAATTTTTATTTTATCTGTTACAATGTTTGAAATTACTCTAAAAGTCAGTTAGTCACCTTCATATGGAAATAAAGTCATTAGATTTTGGTTACTGGTGTACTTTTAAGAAACTTTTTACTTCTACATTTTAAACAAAGGAAAACATTTGAAACATAAAGCAATAAATGAAAATATAATTTCTTACCTTTTGGACATTTGAAAAGAAAGTCAAATATCAGAATCCAAGCTATGGGGAAAAAGGTGTGTGTGTGTGTGTGTGTATACTAAATAAGCATGCAATATTCCACTTTAACATAATATTAATTTAACAGGTTACATCATATAATAATTGTAGAAATTTTAAGCCATAAAGATGAGGTTGAGGGTTTTTTTTTTGAGTGACAATCAAATTTAATTAAATGAAATTTAATATCAACAACACTGGATGATTCTAAAAATTCTTTGACATGAAACAACTATGCATGGCAATTGGTTTAAAATATTTAATAAATAAACCATTTCCTGTAGTTCTTAATATGTCATTGATGAAATGGAAAAGACTGAAAGGCATTATAATGGTTTTGCACTAAGAAAGTCTTTTTTTTAGTTACAATACTGTGTTTTAACAATGATGGAAAGAACCAGACTTCTGGTTTGTTTGTTTGCTTATTTAGTTTATTGATAACCAGTTAAGTAGCAATATTTGGTCACCTTAAATAATTAGTAGATTTTAGTTGTTACATTGAAAAAAACAGTGGGTGTTTCAGTAAGGATCAGGAAATAATGTACACCACCCATGATCTTTGGTTCTAAATTTGGTTTTGGGATGTAAACACACAAGAAATGAAACATTTAGCTTGTTCATGTACTTATAGTTCATATTGCAGCACAGTCATACTATGCAGTTGGCCATGGAGCTCAATTGTTATGATTTATGCTAGTGATGATGAAGCATGAAATATAATCAAATTAAAATAAAAAGTTGAATATGTTTAGAAGGATTAAATATTTTTTAATAGACAAATATAGACACATTTCTAAATATTGTCAACATGGGCTTAACACGAGAGGAGTCCAGTATGAGTTTATTGCCAGTTAAAAGTTGCATGATCTTAGGGTAATCTTAGCTTGGCTAGAATCCCAGCTTCCTTATCTAGCTGTTATAAAACCTTGAAGCGTCATCTAATTCCTCTCATTTCCTATTCTGTTGCTGATGGTACCACAGCCATTGCTATGTCTTTTCTGAAAAATTATGATGAGCATATGTTTATTTCCTGATGTCCAAAAGGTAAGATATTGCATTATTATTTATTGTTTTATGGTTCAAATGTTTTCCATTCTTTAAATGACAGAACTACAAAGTGTCTAAAAAGTTCACCAGTAAACAGAATCTAATGACTTTATTTCCATATGAAGGTGACTATCTGACTTTTAGAGTAATCTCAAGCATGGTAACAGATAAAATAAAAATTTACACTTAAATAAGCAATTATTTAAACAATGGCTAAAATAACCCGATGAACTTTAAGTTTAAAAATTTAAAAATTAAATTTACATGGTTTTATAAAATTTATGTTCATCTGGTTAACTGTCTGAAAATTGGAAAATTTGTTATTTTGATTAAAAAAGAAAGAAAAAACCAGACTCAAATTAGTTTTTGAGTACTGTTACAAGATTTATAAGTTGCCCAGAGATAGAGTGTTGATTTCTCTAAAGACGTCTCTGACATGATGGAGTGACTCTTACCTGGAATATAGTACTGGTTTCCAGTTCTGTTGTGCAGTGTTTCATTTCCATTTTCTTGAGGCCACCGCAGACATTTGTGCTTCAGGTTGCCCATGAAGAGACCCATTCCGAGTAGTGAAAATACAGTCAGAGAAAACAATGCTAGGGCAATGGCACCAAATAGTTTCTTCAAACACTGGGCCAGTGTCACCACAATAGACTGCAGGCCTGGAAAGAAAGACATGTGTGTCTTTTTGTTTTGTTTTGTTTTGTTTTGTTTGTTTGTTTTGGTTTTTGTTTTGGTTCAGAATCTTTAATAGTTTAAAAAGTACATATATCCAGTATACCTTTGCCATAGATCAACTACATAAAATTACACTTTAAGAAAACTACATTCTAGAAAACATATTAAGTATTTTGCTTCCATACATTTAAAAATCTACTAAACTATTAATAGTATGTTGAATGGTACTATATAAAACATATGTTCATCTACATTCCTGTATGTGGTTATCCACTCTAACATCCAATGCAACATTTATTCCCTAAAGTTGAAAAGATGAAGAACATAGCATAAGAAAAATCATGCCATACTTTAAGTACATGAAGAAGAAATTAAGAGGAAACAAAAATTAAAACATGTAAGACATGTGTTTTTAACTTAAGAAGAAAAACATATTCCCAACAAAGCAGCTTCAGAAAACCTCTCCTGTGACAAATGCCTGTCCCTTTGAAGTCAATAAACCTGTCCTTCATTCTAAATACTTCTGCCCAGGTCTAATAAATACTGATAGCCACAGTCACAGCTAGAGGGTTCTATGTCATTGCTGGTTATGAGGTACTTTATGAGATAATTCAGAAACATTATTTTAAGTGGGTGTCTGTTTGAAATGCCAGATTGTCAATACCCAGGCTGTTAAAACAGTAAAGAAAAGCAAACAGACACTGATTTAAAATGCTGTGTTTATTCAGTTTCCCACTCCTCTCTTTCCACAGTTCTCCTTACACCTGATCACCACCCTATTCTTGTTCTCCTCCCTATCCCCTCTCAGAGGGTGGGGGGCATCTCTAGGACATGCCAGCGATCTGGTATTGGGGAGAATCCAGGTATATGGAGCCTGAAGTGTCTGCCTACTGTAACCACGCAGGAATCCCAGTGGAGGAATAAGGACAGTAACCCACCCCACAAAATTTTTAACCTAAAATTTGTCCTGCCTACAAGAGGTACAAGGACAAATATGGAGTAGAACTGAAGGATTGGCCAATCAATGACAGGCTTAACTGGAGACCCATCCTATGCACAAGTACCAATCCCTGACACTGTTAATAATACTGTTATGCTTACAGACAGGAACCTAGTATAACTGTCCTCTGAGAGGCTCTACCCAGAAGCTGATTTAAATAGATGCAAATAACCACAAACAAACATTAGAAAGAGCTCAGGGAGTCTTGTGGAAGTGTTAGGAGAAGGATCTAGGGACCGGGATAGGAATTCCACAGAAAGACCAACAGTCAACTAACTTGGACCCTTGGAAGCTCTAAGAGATTGAACCACCAACCAACAAACATACATAGATTGGACTAAGGATCCCTGCATATATGTAGCAGGTGTTTATCTCATTTTTCTTGTGAGTTCCCTAACAACTGGAGTGAGAGCTATCCCTGACTCTGTTGTCTGCCTGTGGATCCTGTTCCACTGACTGAGCTGCCTGGTCTGGCCTCAGTGAGAGAGGATGTTCATAGGCCTGCAGTGATTTGATGTGCCAGTGTGGGTTGGTACTCAGGGGGAGGGACTTCCCCATCTCAGAGGGTAAGGGAGAGGATAAGTGATGGGCTGCATGAGGGTGGGAGACTTGGAGTTGGGGGGACTGACATCCTCCCACTTTACATGGATGTAAAGTGAATAGGTATGTAAATCAATGGAAAAATACTATGTCTGAACTATCTAACAAAAGTATGTTTCTGCTTTCAAAGTCTTCCTTCAGTTAAAAACTTAAAGAAACAAGTTCTAATACATATGGGAAAGCATATATTTATATCCACTCTGATGTTTTTTTCAAAATCAATCCTGCAGAATATGAAATGCAGTTTTTTCTCATTCATTTATCAATGTCATCATCAGCTGAGACAGAACCTCTTTAGTCTTTCTTCAAATTCTGGCTTTGTTTGATGCATTGATAATAATTACTTATATTACCACTTTATACTTATACTGCCCATTAAAATTCATATCACTTCATCATCTTTAAAATGTTATTCTGTTATTCTGTCTGACAGAATGTAGCCCCATCCTGTGGAAAGCCTCAAAATCAAACTGGCACAATCTGATGCACATCTTAGGCTGGTAAACACATCTTCTGAACCTTGACATATGCATGCCATGCCATGCTCCATTGAAGAGCCACACATCCATGAACATACAGGCAGCACCAATTGGATTCAAGATTGTATTAGTAACATAAGAAATTGCGGCATGGGGATGGAGTGGGGCTCTAGAGTAAATTGGTAGTAGTGGTGCATGGGTATAATCAATAAATTATAAAAGCAAAACAAATGTAAGGTCAAAAAACAGTTTTAAAAGTGAATGAAACCACAGTTCCAGATATTTTTTGTTCTTTTTTCCATTGGATGTACAGATGAAATAATTTTCTTCTGAATGGTACACTTCTCCCCCTGTCTTCCTCTATCAGTTCATATATTCTATATTGCTAGCAAGCTCCCTACTTTCCTTGTATAAGGAAGAGAAATCCATGACACATCCACTCCCAACTCTAGTGTCCTATCTTTCTTGACTTGACTAAAACTTTCTAATCTTTCTTAGCAATTCCTCTGGTGAAGATGAAAATGCTGCCATTTTGTGCTCTTATTGTTCTCAAGGTAAAAGGCAAGTTAAATGTGTTCTGTTTCCACCAGAACAGAACAATATAGTTCCTTCCCTGGCTTGAGTTGGGGTGCTGTGCCAAAAATACTTTTGTTAAGCATATTCATTGGGTTGCAATTCATAATTCCTAAAAATACCTGCTTAATGTATGCAACTTGATGTTTTAAATATTTACGTGTTGGTTTTTCATCACATCACCTTGTAGTTTCCTGGTCTTAGTGGTTCAGTCTCTATTTCAAGTTCATAATGTGGACATATCTGTTTTTCACAGTATTTTGAGCAGAAAAAAATCACCTCTAGATCTCACTTTTGACACATTGGGTCAACACTTGAATATTGTCACTGAAGTTGGCAGACTCTGTTTTCCTCCCTCCCTCCCTCCCTCCCTCCCTCCCTCCCTCTTTCTTTCTTTCTTTCTTTCTTTCTTTCTTTCTTTCTTTCTTTCTTTCTTTCTTTCTTTCTTTCTCTTTCTTCTCTCTCTCTCCTTCCTTCCTTCCTTCCATCCATCCATTCTTCTTTCTTTGCTTATTACATTTATTTATTACAATATTTATTACATTGCATCCACCCTCAGGTGTCCTTACCTAATGATTTTATCATAATGTATGATATACAATATCCCAGTGATCTTGCTACCCATCTGACTGTTTTTCTTTCTTTTTCCTTTTCTTTCTAAGGACACATCAAATGGTGCAAGTGATCAGAGCATCTGTCTGCACATTTGGAAATGGAAACCATAGCTAGTCTTCACCATCCACAGTTGACAGGATCAGAGCTCTCTACTTTATCTGTGAGAACATCTCTGACCTGAACATTTTGGCATGCCTACTTGCTACATACTGAGGACAAAGAAGATTAGTTGAGATCAGGATATGCCTTACTCTATTCCAGATTAGGTAATTTAAAACAGTGGTTTCTCAAGAGGTACCTTAGCCAAGAAAGACTCCATTTCAGAAACAGTTTTGAACTACATTTTGAGGGAGATGATTGAGGTCCCAATAGGACCTGAAAAACAATGCCATCTGCCTGGCACTCACAGAATGAAAGATGGTTGCCCTTTGGATTTACCTGGGTAAACTGAGACTGTAAGTGTACATAAGCATATTAAAATTATTTCAACGTAGCCAGGCCCAAGACTTTACAGAACATATTGTACTAAGGAAAGGGTGTAACTCTATCACCAGAATCCATAAAGTGATAGAAAGTTAGCACTGAAGTGCCATGGATACCTGGTGTTTGGTAAGTATCAACAGACAGAGAACTCCTGATGATCCCTGGTGCTTGAGCTAGGCTGAGTTCTTCCATTACTGATGTAACACAAGCTACTGGCATCTGCCTGCTTCTGTGCTCACCTTCTGGCTCCGAGTCTACAGTTTCCAATATGATTCAGCTTCTGACCTTTTACCTCACAGCTAGACTTAGCTGTATCTACACTCTCTATCCTGACTCTTCCTATGGCCTCAATAGCATCTTCTTCTCTAAATCTGTCTTAGGTTCATTATGCTATCAATAAAGATTCTGCATACATTTTACTCGCCTATTTTTAAAATCTCATGAGCTCTGCTGTATCTTCTTTAATTTTTATTTATTCTGTAAATCACAAAAGAGATTTACATATATTTAATGTATGCTACATGTTGTGTCATATGAGCAATCCAGATTGGAATAAATATACACTCACCCTGGCCAGACTACCAAGGTGGACAGGATTCTTTTGCAAACCACTTGAAATGAAACCTTTCAATTTGTGAATTTATTGTACTTTGCTGAAGTGTGATACTGTGTAAGGTCATAAACTTGTTCATCTGTGTTTCTGACACAGTGTGCTGATAATTATATTAGATTATGTTCAGTCATTTAAATGGTTTTCTTAGTGAAATAAGGGGAGAAGAGGCAAAGGAAGCAAATTAGAATCTGTCTCTGCTTTCCATATGGTTTACTGAATATAAGACCTTTTACTCTTTGTAAGGATAACTGAAATGAAAGCATGACTAATTTTTGTCTATATTTTTGTATCACAAGCCACACCATCTAACAACAGGTAAATGTACTTTTTCTTGACTTTCTTTGTTGACAAATAGATTCAAGGTTTGGATGACTTTTGAATAGCTTGTGAAGTAGAGACATTGTTCAACTTAACATCTTTTCTCTAAGTAATAATAAGACAGTTCAAGTGACTCCATGAATACACAAAAATGCACAATGAAGAAAACAAATCCAACAGCATTTCTTACCATGATTCAAAGGGATAATCTTCAAAATTCTCAAGGTTCTTATAATCTTAAGCATTAGAAAGGAGCTTAGAGGTGAAAACTTTGTGGTAAGCCTGTGGGGGTAAATGAGAGATATTTTGAAATCTGTGAGTCCATGGTCTTTGGAAGCTCCTACAGATTTCTATTTCTGAGGATGTTCCTGGCTCCCATGATTCTACTCTAGAAATAGGTTTATTATTGCTTGACAGACAGATTTGCTCTGGATAAGGTTGTCCTATGTAGTAGTAGTTCACACATTCAAACTTTTGAGTTTATGACACTTTTACTCTGTGCTAAATTCCTGTGAAACAACAAATTGTAATGTGTTCATAAAATGTTATCTTATTACAAAAAATAACAAGGAAATTAAGAAAACCTGCTAGCTGTTTTTTAATTTGTTTATGAATATATTTATGTATATATGAATTTATTTATTTTATATTTTTACAGTCCAGTCATCACTCTTTCCCAGCCTGCCCTCCCACAGTTCTACATTCCATTCCTCCCTCCTTGCCTACAAGAAGATGTCCCCACCCCTACCCCTAGCCCTTGCCAGGCCTCCCCACTCCCAGGGGTCTCAAGTCTCTCAAGGGATATGTGCCTCTTCTCTCATTGTGGCCAGACCAGGCAGTCCTCTGCTGTGTATTATAGGGCTCATCTTAAGTGTTTAATCTCCGTATGCTGAGGAACCTGATGGTGAACAGCAATGAAGACCAAAGTCAGGGCATGTACTGTGACCTTCTCTGTGGCCAGAATGCCAATGTAGAAATAATACCACTGTTTCCCAGCTATATGACAGGACATGTGGTTAATATACTGTGCCATAATTACCTCCCTTGTAGAGTAGACAATATTTCTTTATTCAAAGAAATTTTGTAGGAATTTAATGGAACAATGTATTCAGATGTCATAGATATGTGCATGCACACAATATAGACTAGCTGTCAGTCAGTTTAGGTAAGTGGTAATGGCAGCATAGAGAACTCAAGTAATAATAGTATAGTAATGTCAATAATTATAATGATACTAGTCATTTCATTTTACTCATGCCATATGGTAGATATTGCTACTATTGTTTACAAAAATATTTTAAAGAAAAAGTAGAATCTCTTTTAAAATAATTTTAACAGCTGGGTAGTGGTGGCAAATGTCTTTAATCCCAGCACTTGGGAGGCAGAAGCAGGCAGATTTCTGAGTTCGAGGCTAGCCTGGTCTACAAAGTGAGTTTCAGGACAGCCAGGGCTACACAGAGAAACCCTGTCTCGAAAAAAAAATTTTAACAGACATTTGGCTCTACTGATAATTTCTATATTCACGAAAAAGAATAGAAGCAATGCAAATACTGAAAGGATAAATAAGAATTAGTATTATACATAACACTCCAGAAAAGTCTGTGAGTACTTAAATACACTGGTCTCAAACCATGAACTACATAAAACGCTTAAATACTGAGCCTCAAGTCAGCTAGATACCTCCCCTAAGTCTTAATGTCATCCTGCACTCAGCAGGAAAAATAAAAAACACTTACAATGCATACTACAATTTCACTTTTCTACAAGATAGCCAACCACTCATTGCTTCCATTTATAATGACTACCCAGATACTATTATCTGAAAGATACATGGTAACTGAAATCATTAAAAAGCTTACAACTTGAAATACTACTTACTCATACAAAGTTACACTGAAATCAAGACAGTTCCAAAGATCCCCAAGGAAGGAAAACGACCCTGCCCAGATACCTCTGGCAATGACTTTTACAAGTATTTCAAATGTGTAAATCCCAAGCAAAGTATTCCTGCAGAAAAAAATCACATAAATATTAAATGTTGAAGATAGTATATTGTCAATTCTGAAATGTTATGTCTTTGATAGTCATCAGCTATGGAATATAAGTGATCTGGAAAGTAAAATCTGATATATTTGGTGGGATGGAAACAGTCAATCAGACAATAATCAAATAGGCTGGTAACTTTGAAACTCAGCAAAGAGCTGCTGGAGAGCTTTAGTGAGGCCTTTGTGGTAACAGTGGTTACTGGATTTGATGAACCTACTTCCCAGTAGTTCTAACTCAGAGGGTATATACATTTTTATATTATACAAGTAAATTATATCAACTATACTCAAAATGGGGATTTTATCATAACTAATTTGGTAGTATTTAAACCTCAAAGTAATAAAATATAAGAAAAGATAATCAGACAGAGAGACAGACAGACAGACAGACACGCACACACACACACATACACACACACACACACACACACACACATGTTTTTTTTGATAAGTCAGTATCATAGTTAACTTACAAAACCACTATCTTAAATAGTTTTAAGAACAGTGTTGTAGCTCAAAGTTATTGTCAAGTAGTTTTATTTTCCAACAATTAATCGAACAAACAAATAACAGAACAAAAAACAAAACCAAAAACCAACAACAAAAAACCCTAGCATACTGTTCCATTAGTCTACTAAAAACTAGACTTTTTAGATTCGCATGGACAGTAGAAAGTATAAAACTGACAATATATTAATGGATGGAAATAAATAAATAAATAAATAAATAAATAAATAAAGCTTTGCGTAAGAAAGAAAGAAAACAAGCACGAGATGAACCCCCATGCATGTGAATCTGTGGTATATACATATAGCAAAAGTCCTAAATATTCCAATGAATATAATTAACTGATATAACTATATCTTCAGTCTATATAGCACTGTAGATATTTAAAGTGGTAATATGACGTCATAATTCCAGGATTCAAGAGTCTGCGACAGGGGTCAAAGACAAGTAAGTGATACACAGCTAGAACGCAAATCAAATGAAATAACACTAACAGATTAAGTAAGAAGAATGAAAGGGAAAAACCCACTGAAATTGATGAACACACACACACACGCACACACACACACACACACACATGTTTTATTTTGGAAATTCAGTCATGGTGTTCATATCACTATGTCCCACAAATGTAGCAGTACATACAGGATAGAAATATTATGATGTGGTTTATCTTCATATGTCTATGCATTAGGCACTTGATCCCAAGTGTGGTTAGGCAAAAGTTTATGGCACACTAGAAGTGGAGTCTATTTTAACATCCTTGTGCCACTAGTGCACTTGCCGACCTGTTTCCACGGGAAGGGATGTAAACAGAGGAGTAATAGAAAAGCCAAGGCAGGTTTCATACCATTCAGGGGTTATGGTACCAAGATATGAATGGCTGCTAAAAGGGCCTCTGCTGTTTCCACAGGCCACAGTTTATGTAGGTAAGAGGACCTAATTGTCCCTGAAACCTAACAGCAAAGGTGCCCTGCTCTTCAACCTTCAGAGCTGTGAGTGAAGCAAATCTCTTGCCTTTATGGATTTTTAAAAATTTAAAAATTACAAAAGTTAAATAGTATTGTTTTAATCCATAACATATTTTGTAATTGAATGTAATGCCATAAATATTAAACATGTTAAAACTAAAGTAGAATTATAGACTATATTATATATAACAAAATTAAGTAACTTACTCTATTGTCGATATCCATTCTGGTGGATTACTCAGGCACATCAATATGCTGTCACTGAGGACACTAATTAAAATCAGCAAGCGAAAAAGGGTAAACCATGGTTAAGGGACAATGGCTAAAAAATCATATTAGAAAAAACCTACTTACATAATAGCATTTGGAGATACATGTGACAAGATTCTTTTGTAAATATTAAAAATACACGTCATTCTAATTGAAAAATAAGGACTAACATGTATCAACTATTATTACAATAGGGTTTGAATAACAGAACATCAAGCCTTATTTTTAGCATGCCAAAGGCACAGCCAACCACCCGTAGAAAGGATATGGATGCACCAAAACCTTGATAGCCGCTCTTCTGAGGGAGCTTAAAGGAGACAATGTGCAGAAGATGGAAACCGCATTGAACCTGAAGATGACTCTGTTTCTGTTTAAGACCATAAAAGTCTGCAAGAAACCACAGTAGATACAGTTAACTAAAATGGAGAACCTAAGCAACACATTACCAATGCTCATCAGTTAGATATTCTGTCATATTTTCATTGGCTTTGATATCTAATTGTTATTAAAGCAAAGGGAGTGGTTTTCACTTATATTTAGACTTACCTGAAAGTTCATCACTTATTTATTTATTTATTTATTTATTTATTTATTTATTTATGGCTGGTTGTGTGCTTGATAAAGTCATTATGGTGTGATCACATCTTGAACTAATGTAACAGAAACTCTTCAGACGGTATGTGGACTTGCACTTAAAGGTATCAGGGGGTCTTTATCTCACAACTTAATGAATGTGGAAAATTTAATTTTACATCATAAAAAGAATCAATGAAATATTATTAAAGAAATGGTCAAATGTTCTGAAATCTCACATCAATCATTTATATTATTTATGAGGGAGGGTCTGTAGGGGAGAAAAGAGGATTTTTATGTAATTCTATTTTAAATAAAATATATTAGAAATAAAACAATTAAAAAGGTAAATCCTAATAATTAATGTTTGTAAAAAACCTAGCTTATTTAATATTATTGACATGAACATAGTAGTTTATATAATATAAACACAAGGATTTTGAATATTAAAGCATTAAATCTTGAAAAATATAGTAAAAGGCAGAAATATTCTAAAACAGAAATTGTTCCATATATATGTAGGTAGATGGGCTTATTTATACATATTTACATATGGGATTATATACATTCATATGTGTACATATTTTTAAATTTGTGCATATTCACATTATTATAATGTATATAATATATTATATATGTTCATTGATGTATAGATGTATGTATAGTCACTATATATGTCTCTTCAGAAAAAGTATTAATGTGGAGTGTGCATTAAAATGTACTGTCTGGTAGTGTAACTTGAAGACAGTGTTTGCTCAGCCTTCAGTTAACCCTGGGTTTAATGCAGTTAACACTGAAATAATTTTTATGTGTAGTAAGTAATTACTACATATATACACAGTAAGTAAGTATATTGTTATAAATAAAAAATGTATTAATTATTTCCTCTCTAAGAGGGATCTAGTCAAGGGCGTCATGTGTGCTAGGCAAACTCTCTTCCACTGTTTATCCCAAGGATCTTTAAATTCTTTTTTTTTTCCGTGAAAATGAGTTTCATTAAGTTATAAAGGCTGGCCTTAAACTCACAGCTTAGATCACAGAGGACTTGAATCTTCAATATTTAAATCATTTGAGAATTAAAGGCCTTGCCACCATGCCTGGCTTAAAAGTAATCTTACATAGAATATAGTCTACTTATAGTCTGATAATAATATAGGCACTATGACTTTTACTCTTTATATTGAAAGGGGCATATGGAAAAATGAATTACAAGAATATAAAACTGCCAACACTTTTCCACGCGTGTCAGCTCTAACTGGAATCTTCTCTGGGTCTCAATTCTTAGATAAGTGTAATTCAACAAGTGACAACCATGGGACATTGTTCAACTATTGTACTTATTCTCCCATCTCCACTTAAATAAACCAAATAGAAACAAATAATACACCTAATTGTGTAAATTCTCCTTTCCATGGTAGCTTCCAAAACAATTGCAAACTCCATGGGAAGTTTAACATATGTGTGTGCCATTGTGAAGGGATACATACTTTCAGCTTATCTCCTGATTTTATATGTTTTCTTAATTTTATGATTATTTATCTATATGCTGTGTGGAAGAGAGTGAGCCAAACACAACCCAGATATTTACACAATGTGATATCACTGAGAGCAGCATTGAGTGCATAAAGTCACCCAGCAGGCTTCAGAAATCATGAGGTCACCCTGGCAGACTTCAGAGTTCATGAGGTCCCTGGCAGGCTTCAGAGTTCATGAGGTCACTCTTGCAGGCTGAAGAGTCCATGACATCACCCTTGCAGGCTTCAGAGTGCATAAGGTCACCCTGGCAAGTTTCAACTCAGGGGCCTCATAGCAGCTAGGCTCCTAAAGCACTCAGAATCTTGTTTTATTTTGAGTTTTTAGAATTATTTCGTATTGTATTTAAGTTTTCATATAATAAGTTTTGATAATATTCTTTGCCCTTTCCCAACTCCTCTCAGAGCCTCCTCATCTCTCTCACTATCCACCCAAATTCAGGTTTTTTCACTCTTTCTCAAAAAAATCAAAACAACAACATAATAGCAAATTAAAAGGAAAATGACAAAAAATACAAAGACAACACACACACACACACTAAAAAAATAAAAATAAATAAAATAAAATAAAACAATCAACCAACCAAACCATCAAAAAAGCTTGGTGGCTCACACCTTTAATCCTAGAACTTTTATGACAAAGGCAAGCAGATCTCTGAGTTCGAGGCCAGTCTGGACTACAGAGTAAGTTCTAGGACAGCCAGGGCTACCTAGGGAATCCCTTTCTCCAAACATGCCATCCTGACAAAAGAATCAACTACTGCTGGACATAGGGCCTGTCATAATGTGTTTGTTTTTTGTCTCTTAAGATCTTTGACTTCATCTTCAATAGAAACATTCCCATGCCTAGTATGCCTGCACACAATACTCAGTACTCAGATGGCTGCAACCGTAACAGGCAATTATATTTCAAGTAGCTGACGATAAATGAAGTAACATACAGCTTCAATAATAATGGTTAATACGTACATTTCTCTTAACATAGTAGTACGGATCCACATCTTCCAAGGGCTCTGACACGGTTCCCTGAGGAAGGTTTCCATAGGTAAATGGAAGGTTTTTGCCAGCTTCTAAGTCACGGCTTGGTTTTAAATCTTCTTCTCCGTGCTCTTCATTGCATTTTTTAGCAATGTGATTTTCTATAAGCTCAAGTGACTCTGCTGTAAATGGGACGAGCCCCTTCAGCTCTGGGGAAGTCAACATTTCCAATTTTGTACCTGTAAAAAAGTAAATATATAACATTTGGTCATATGTAAAGTCATTCTTTTAGTAAGTTGTCACATGCTCTTTGAACTCATGAAGAGCTCTGAAATGGGGCTCTCCCCTGCCTTTTCAAACTTAAGAACAATTGTCTTAAAGTGCACTCCAGGGCTCCTTGTCTGGGGATGCGCTGCTCTCTTAACTCCATGACAATGAGGGAAGGGAACAGCAAGATTGCCCAGGAGTGTAAAGGTTTTGTTCTTGACAACAGCTGTAGAATGAACTACTTCCAATAAAGACTACATTTTTTAAAAATTGCATTCTACTAAAATATTGGCAGTGGAGAAGTCTGAAATTCAGCCATCAAAAGACGATCCATGAAGTTATAGTTTAATGAAGCACACCAGCTAGACTGCATCAATCTCCACTGTTGAAGGCCATCTTCCATTGGTCTGGGTAAACTAAGGTGAGGGTGTGGAGTCAACAATTGATCACTCAGAGCAGACTTTTCTCAGTGGAAGTAAAGCTTGATTATCTGGTGCTGACAAAAAATGGGGAGAAGAATCACACACACAGACACACACAGACACACATAGACACATACACAGAAATAGACAAACACACATACACATACATACACACACACACATACACACACACACACACACACACACACACACACAGAGTGGATGGAGCAAAATTCAACCAGCTCCAATATACACATACACACATACATACATACATACATACATACATACATATATTTAAACATGCATACACATTCACACATTGGGTGAATGGAGCAAAGCTACAACCACTTTATATACACATACATGCATTTGTGGATGGATGGAGCAAAGCTCCAATGAGCAAGCTTCAACAACACTATTTTTTTCTCCCACAGCTTACAGAGCACACAAAGATCTTTCAGGAAGTACAAAAATTACAATATGATTATATTTTATATTGATTTTAGTAAATTATCATGAAAAAATCAGTATGTTCTCCAATATCTTTACATGAAAATCTTTTTACTATTGCAATTGAAGAAAAAAAGTATTCCCAAGAATGTACATACATCTGTAACTAAGCAATTATTTAGTATTCCAAAGGACATAGATAGCATGTACTCACTGATAAGTGAATATTAGCCAAAATGTTCAGAATGTCCATGATACAACTCATATGAAGCATAAGAAGGAGAAAAGCCCTAGTGTGGATGCTTCAGTCCCACTTAGAAGGGGAAACAGAATAATAACAGAAGGCAAGATTAAGTTTGGGGAGGGGATACAGGATAGAAGCCCAGAGGGCTAGGAGAATGAGTAGAAATATGTAGCAGTGTGGGGTGGAGAATGGGGAATCACTAAAAAGTCCTAGACACCAGGGGTGTGGGTATGGGAGTCTCCCAGGCCCCAATGGGGATTAGCTGAAATGCCCAACAGTAAGGAGATGAAACCAGAAAAGGCCACCTTCAGTAGACAGACATGGCCCCTATCTCAAACTTTTGACCCAGAATTGTTTCTGTCTAAAGGAAACGCAGGGACAAAAACAAAATGGCCAGACACCAATTCAGAGGTCACTCCAACTTGGGATCCATCCCATGAGCAGGCACCAAATACCAACAGAATTGCTGATGCCAATATGTGCTTGCAGACAGGAGCCTGGCACAGTTGTCCTCTAAGAGGCTCTACCAGCAGCTGACTGAAACAGATGTAGATACAGTCAACCATTGGACTGAGCCTGGGGACCCCTACGGAAGAGTTAGGAGAAGCACTGAAGGAGCTGTAGGAGACTGCAACCCCACAGGAGAAAAACAGTTAACTAATCGGACTCCTCAGAGCTCCCAGGGACTAAGCCACCAACCAAAGCACATACATGGGTTGGTCGGTGGCCCTACTACATCTGTGTCAGAAGACTACCTTGTCTGACTTCAGAGGGAGGGGATGTTCTTGGTCCTGTGGAGGCTTGATGCCCCAGAGAAGGGGGATGGTAGAAGGGTGAGGTGGGAGAGGATGGGTGGGAGTAAACACACTTTTAGAGGTGATGGGAAGGGGTTTCAGAAAGAGGGACAACATTTGAAATGTAAATAAAATAATTAATAAAAACAACAGAATCGATTATCTTAATATTTATCATAAAACATAATTTTATAAGAACTTTAGTAGAATCACAAATCTAAACTTTTATGTAAACAACAATTAATAACTTCTACTTAAATCTTCAGGGTGCACATCTACTCATTGTCATTTTTTAACAAAGTCGTATTAGGAAACCGAGGGCAAAAATGAGCAGAAAAATTAATTATCACTTTGATCACCAGCCCATCTTCAGTAATATGGTCACATCAGTCAGTGCTAATCAGGCTGCCATTGTTATTGTTCCTTGACCTTAAAATTTCTCTTGCTCGACTATTAAAAGTGTGCTTTTCTGAGCTGCAAATTGTTTTCTAATATTTATACATCACAGCCTTTAGCAAAATATCTTAACCTAACTTCACTAACAATCTACATCTCCACATTTTTTCTAAGGGCGGTTGTCATTGCTAACAATCGACAAGTTCTTTCTGAGGATGATGGATGAATCATTAATCTGCCCTAGTAGCAATGCTTGAAAAAGCTCAATTATTAATATTGTAAGTGCCAATGAAACTGCCCTATGAGGGGCTGGAAGCCCTCTTAAAGTTTTCACAGAACTCATAGATTATGAGGGATGTGATGTGAGGGCAGCAAACAGAACAAAATTCTACAACAGCATGAAGTCCTCAGGACACAGAATCCTCAGAGCTCTGCTTCTCTGAGGCATACCCATCATGGCTGTGTAGCTGATGGGATACATTCCATGAATTCTAGTTATTTTGGTGTTCCACCTAACTCTCAACAGTCCACAGCAAGTTTCTGCAAGATGCTGTAAGCTCTTTTTGTAATGTGATTTTTCCTTTTACTTGAAAGTTTAACATGAGACACAACTCTATTTGGAAATATCAGTCTGGTACTCCAGCTGGCAACCTAAATAGGTCTTCTCCAATTGATTTCTGCTTCCTGTTTTTGTATTTGATTTCATTTAATGATGTTCTCTCTCTCACACACACACATCTATCATCTAACTATCTAGCCACTCATTCATTCCTTGCTTATACTTACTCTCTAACTTTGTCTTCTTATATACCTACTAAACTTAAATCATTCAAAATTTTAAAAAAAGTAGGAATATTATGGATGATTCCCTGGGCCATACATAACACTATGGTCTCTAAATTCAAATTTAGACATCAAGATATGAAAATTTTAGAGACTACCCCAAACTAAATAGGTACATTTAGGGAGATCATTTCTTAATTTTATAGAGCTATGAGCCATACAGAATTTTATTATACTTAATATTATATACTCATTTGGAATTTCATTTAGTCCTTAATAGAATTTTTTAATTGTATTGGTATTTCTACTTCTCTATTATAATAGATAATTTTAATGGTGTTTGAGATCTTTTAATGTTCAAATCTAATTGTTTCCTATGTCCTGCATATAGCCATCAACTGGTCTTTTCTTTTACAAATGCTTTCCAATCAATCTGGATTCCATTCTTCTTGTGTTTAGATTTGGATTATTTACTTTACCTAAATCCCTGCATGACTTGTTTTCATTCTTACCTTTTAGTGGTACAGGGATAAAACCAGAGCCATGCTCATACTTGGAAAATGCTCTTCCACAGAGATATGTTTCCAGGAATATAGGTCAAATTTTATTTGATTTTTAACTTCTACACCCTTAAAACTGTGCCTTTCTTCTATGTTATACAAATGTTTTGATGAATGCACGAGAGTTGTGTTACTCTCTGTACACCAGTATCTACCAACTACAGTTCTTCTCTTGGATGTTTGTGTGGAGAGTTCACCAATAAAAGCAACAAAGTATTTTTTCTTTTACAATTATGACAAATACACATTAATAATATAGCCGATTTTTTTGGTTTTTTAAAAAGTAAAAGAAAGCATACAGAGTTGGGGATATGGGGAAATGGAGAGGATCTGGGCAGAGTTGGAAATGAAGAAGATAATGTATTGAATGAAAGAAACGTAATTAAAAATTCAATAAAGATCTGGAAGCGTGGTTTAGTAGTTAAGAGCAGAGGATTCTCTTCCAGAGGATTCAGGCTCAATTCCCAGAATCCACATTGCAGTTCACAATTGTCTGTGACTCCAGCTCCAGGGGACCCAACACCTTATACTGACATATGAGCCAACGAAACACCCATTCACATAAAACAAAAATAAAATAATAATTTTTAAAATGCAGACAAAAGGAAATGGAAAATAAATACAAGAAAATTAAAAAAGAAAACCACAAATTTACAACTAGAAAATTATTCATGACATTTTTCTCTGTGTCATGAACTTCTCTTTGCATGACACAGTTTTGTGATACTTATTCATGATGATCTTGAATACTGTCCATTTCCACAATTGCCTGAGATTATCTATATTTGCAGTCCTCTCTTTGGTCTACTTTGGTAACTGTTAGGTATCAGTTCTGCTGTTTACTGATGCTAACTCACTCTGTTAGACATGGGAAGATGTGTCTTTCCATCAATTTACTGTAGCATCAGTGTTCACTCAGATAACCTTTTCTTGATACATACAAATGTGTTATTTTATAGAAAACATACTTAGTTTTATTTTATGTGTATTAGTGTTTGACCTTCAAGTATGTATGTGCTATGTAATTTCTGAGATTGTCAGAAGAGAAACATGGATCCTTAAAACTAGAGTTATTGATGACTGTGAGCCTTCACATGGGTGATAACAACCAAATCTGGTATCTTCTGTATTGTCCTTTCCATCTGCAATTAAAGCCACCCTTCCTTTTCCTTTCAGTTTTTCTCATTCACCTTCCATATCTCCTGTACTTTGCTATTTACCTCCCCATATTGCTAATACCTCCCCATAATGTCCCCATCATGGATCTTTATTTGCTTTCCTGTTTGCTGTTGTTATTTTAGGTTAAATACTTATTTTTGA